ATGTAAGTAAATGTTAACTCTATCCTTCCAGTTGGAGCTTTCGGATCCCTTTCTCCTACCATTTCCCGCCTTGTCACTGCACTACAACCAACCAGCCTCCTTCCCGGACCTTAAAGACACCCAGGCGTGTTCCTGCCTCAGAACTGGTGTCTCTGTCCCCTCTACCTGGGATGTTATTCCCCAGACATCACATGTTTGCTCTCTCCCTCACCTCATTCAAGTCTTTGCTCTTATGTTCCCTCTAAGTGAAGCCTTCCCTGAGCACCCTGTTTAAATTGCGGCCCAGGCCCCTGGCACTTCCTATTCTCTTTCCTAATTCCATATCCTTCCATGGAAATTGTCATTTCTTTTCATCTAATGTACACACTCATTTTGTTTATTACTTGTCTTCTTCCACTGCAATGTACCATCCTTAAAGAGAAGAGTGTTTTGTTTTTCACTTTTATACCTCTAACACCTGTACACCGCCTGGTGTGTAATAGGAGTTCAGTAAATATTTATTAAACAAAAAAGGAGCAAACGTCTACAAAATTGAAGTTCCACAGGATACACATTGTTTAGGTCAGTACCAGACCAATGCAGAGACCTCAAGAGATTCATTTCCTGTAGATGTAAAACTCCCAAGAAGCTTAAAATAAGCCCACATTCAACCTGCAAAGTCCTGTCCTCTGCAAGGTCAAGAACAAAGGAGCTATGGCCTTTCCTCACCACTTTTCTTTACCTGGCACTTGTTCATTTGGATCAGGCATCGTAAGCATGCCTCTGGGACAGTCATATGATGCTTGGGGACACAGTGTATCTCAGGGACAAAGAAGGGCTGTGGTCAGGAACAGAAGCTGGATCTGGGCACCCTCTACCCACCTGCTTAACATTCTCTTTCTTCCTCTCACCTGCCCTGCTCCCTTCCTATTGTCGACAAGCCCCACGGGAACCCTCGGGTACAAACACCATCTATCAAGCAGAATGTTACAGAAAGTGCAGTTGACATTTTACTGTGTATTTAATTCTTCTAGTTTTTAAAAAGTTCATAGTCAGAAGAAAGTCATCACTGGGGGTATTTAATTAATTCTCAGGTGAGATCATTTCTTACATGTTTTGATTACCTCTAAAGTACCCTTCTTATTTCACGTTAGCTATTTAGTCATCTAGAAAAGAACAAAACCACGTCTTTTATCAAAGTATTTTGAAAGCTTGTATTTTATGTTTACTTCTTTTCATTTATATTTTTCTACATTTTTCTTATTAGTGTGTGTTCTTGTGGCAGAAACCTCTCTGACTGTAGGTTGTTGAAAAATTGTTTTTAATTTTGGTATAGTGAACATAATAGCTTATTTCTAACGAGACCCTGGGAAATGCCAAGAGATAATAAATACTTAACAGCTATGGACCCTGGAAATAGAATTTGAATAAATAGACAAGTAGAAATATGAAACATGAAATACACAGTTTAATTAAACTTACAACTGAGTTGGATAATTGGTATTAGGGATATTTTTATCTCACCCATCACCATATTAGTTTCTTTCCTACTCTACCAGCTTATAGAGTAGACCCTTGAACAGCACGAGCATACACTGCACAAGTCTACTCACACACAGATCTTTTTCAATCAATACATACAGTGCTCTAAATGTACTTCCTTTTCCTTGTGGTATTCTTAATAACATTTCTTTTCTCTAGCTTACTTTACTGTAAGAATACAGTACATAATAAATACATAACATACTGGTATGTGCTAATCGACTGTTCATGTGATCGGTAAGGTCTCACAGCAACAGTAGATTATTGATAGTTAAGTGTTGGGAGAGTCTAAAGACATACATGGATTTTTGACTGCAAGGTGTTGGCAGCCCTAACCCTCAAGTTATTCAAGGGTCAACTATCCTTCTTTTCTGTGATTGCGATGGGTAGGTTTTAGCTAGTTAAGTCTTAAATAGCTAAAGCAGTTAAGACATTTGGGTAGTAATACTGCATAGTGACATTGTAGCACATTTATTAGGAGTCACGGACCAATGGATTTTTTTTTTTTGAAACCTATTTATTTCCCCAAGAACAAGATGTCGAGAATTTATTTAATGTTGAACTGTTCAGGAATTAATTCAGAGAACTAGTCATTAATTTCATCTAGCTGGGTCTCAAATTTTAATTTTCTGGTCTGGAGTTTTGTTTCAACTGGCATATTTCTCAGGAAATAATATTTGCTTAAACACAAGCATCTGATTTTATTTTGAGATTTACTTATAAGAGAACCCTCTGGGTAAAGGATTTCTGAATGGCTTTTCCTTTTTGTATTTCTTGACAAATGACAAATGGTATAACATAAACACCCACTTTCCAGTATACATAGAAATAACTGACCTAGGATGCAAGGAAACAAGCTCACATCTTCCCTCTCCATCAATTACATGGCCCTCAGACACTTTGAGTTAAATGTAAAGTCCCCGTATAAAGGAGCACACTAGTCTTGTACTTGAGTCTCATTTTCAACTCATTCTATAAACAGACAGTTTCCTTTCTACCTAAGTATCTCAGAAGGACACACACCAAACTGATGTCAGTGCTTATATGTGGTAAGGAGAGAAGGGGCTAGAACTGAGGGTGAACCTCACAGGGAACTTTAGCCTGGTCCATAAACGGTGTAATTGTTTGTAAGACAGATAAACAGTCATTATTATATTAAATTTTAAAAAATTCAGAACTCTGCATCTTTCCTCGGCTCCAGGCCATCTACTTCCTTTGCCCTGATGTTACTGTGACTCCTGTTTTCTCCTAACTCAGCTTTTCCAGTTTTCCTGTGTTACTATGCACAGGTGTATTTTTAAAATCCTGCACCCTCAACTACTCCCACTTTGAAGTAATATTTTATAATATACTGAAGTAATATTTTTGTGAACCTCCTTAGGCCAAGAGAATGTATAAATAACTGTTTATTTATACATAATTTAGACCGTGCTCTTGTAATTAAATATATGGAACTTGTTTTTGACTTCCAAGCCTGCCTCAGCCTAGAAAAGTAATTCCATGCGTATGTTTAGTACATGAGTCCACAAAAGCATTTTAATTTTCATCTCAATTCTCTCTCTTCCCCTACCCCAGTGTTCTTGCTTCTTTCTCCTCCTTTTCTTATAATTTAGCAAATGACTGCTTCCTGGTGAGCATCTACCTATATAGCAGAGTGGAAGGATTATCTCAATCACATTCAACCACTCAATTCCCTCTTTCCCAATTACACAGCCCTAGGGTGACGTGGATGTCTACAGAGGAAAAAATAGTAAATGGAAAATAGGCCTTCATCATAAGGTGGCATTTCCTGTAAGACAGGCTTGTTTATGGCAAGGACAAGCATCTGATATAGTAGTTTTACAATCATTTTATATGTAAAAAATAAATGATTGGACTTCGGAGTAGGTCAGACACATTATCTGCCGAGAAGCTGTTTGTGAAGTGACAATAAACTGTGTGTAGATTTCTGACACGAGAAGGCCAAGAAGGAGCATTTACAGTAGCTTTCTCATTTGTCTTCTTCTGACCTCTTTTCTCCTAAAATTCAACTGTCATAATGTCATTGTCGGGATATTTATAAAATACTGATTTGAGTTTAAAATATGATGGTTCTGATTAAGAACCTTTGATAAATTACTGTTATCTACCAAAGCAAGTCTGAATTGTTTAGATTGATGTACAAATTCTTTGAAAATATGGTCCATCTGACCTTTCCAAGTCCATCTGTATCCTCTGTTCCAAGGAGTCTACGTTCCAGTCATGCAAAGAGATGAAGTAACAAACAGTCCCCGAACTTGCCAGATGCTAGTGCTCCTCTGTGACTTTCCCTGCTGGCGAAGAATGCGTGGTGGCCACCTCTTCACTTGTTAAACTCCTACACATCCGTCAGTGTCCAGCTCAAATGTTCCTCTCTGTACTCTTGAGCCTTTGGCTCAGATAAATATAAAATGGATCATAATAGACTTTGGTTTATTGTGTACAGGTCTTTCTTTTATAGCCCATGAAATCCTTGGAGGGCAAGGTCATACTGTTCTTGCTCTTGTAATCTCAGTGCCTAAAATGGAGCCCATTAGACAGCTAATGTTTATTTTATCAATGAATGAATCATTCATTCACAGAATGACCATTCTGGTATGCTGCAAAAAAGAACTGCTCTTATCACTATTATTAAAGCCCTTGGAAGGTTGCTGTTCTCTCTTAGTCACAGAAGGGACTCTGAGAGATCATTAATGTAATTGCATACTGGTCTTCCCAAGCTTTAGGCTGTTGGCAGATGAATTTAGCCACCGAGGAAAAAAAAGGGTGAGTTTCTTGCTGGCATAGGTTAACAGCTATTGTTCTGTCTCTGGATTGTGCAGTGTGTGTGGGGTGCCTTCAGGCCATCCTGGGAGATTGTGCAAGAGGATGTGAGGGCTGTTGCACTGTCCATCTCCAGAGACTGGGGAGCTCTGGCAGGGAAAGGCTACCCGAAGCCCTTCTGTTAATGAGGCTAGGCCAGTGCCATCAATGAGAACTAGGGACTGCCCCATTCTCTCTGTTGTCCTATATACCATCTGAATTAATGACACACCCTTCCTTGCACACCCTCCCAAATAAAAGCAAATAAGGAAAGTGACAAAGAGCTCATGGCTTTAATTCCAAAAACAAATAAAGCTGTTTTCCTGTCTTCTTCACCAGTGATGGTCTTTCTGCTACTGAGTGGGTCCAGGAGTAGCTACTGCCCAAAAGGCAGATGCAGAGCCCCCCAGTCCTCCCCACGTGGGCCCCCTCCATCCCTGCTGTTCTAACAGGGGTGCCCTAAAACTGACATGATAGAGCCCCTTATAAGTAAGAAGAGGTGGTCTGAGGATCATTGGCATATGCCTTCCTTGTGGAGACTCGCATTAAATTGTAAGCATTTTAAAGAGAGATATTAGGAGTTTAAAAAATCAGAACATTAAATAAAACAGATTTCAAATAACAGTGAAACTATAAAATGTCAGTACTAAAGAGCGTACCGCAATACCCTGGGGTTCCACACACCGTCTTCATGAGCACTTGATGGTCCACAATTTTGGAGAGTCCAAAATCAGCTAACAACACAAGAAAAAAAAAGCAAGTTTTTTTCTCAGCTTATATGACAGAATACCATTGTTATTCAAAATAAAACATTTGTTTGTTTTTGTATTTGATGAGTGGATGTAGATGGAGACCAGTCACCAGGGAGAGAAAAATTAAAAAGAATAGTAATAATATTTTAAATCTTGCTTTAAATTGGAGGAAAATATGATTCCTAAATACATTTTATACCTTTTTTCCTGTAATTCCCAGCTTTCAGCGTATAAGCTATTTCTTCTTGAAGTAATAGTTGCAAGAGACATATTTTGTTAAATATTAATTCTAAGATTTATGAAACTAACTCTGAAGGACCATATAGAATTAGTGATGTAATTCAGAGCTTTTAATCCACTGGAACGAATTAAAATAAAAAATGAGGCTTTCATAAATATTGAAAAAATGAACAGAAACATCAAAAGGTTTATTCTATTTCAAAACAATGTCATTCCCTAGTGTATTTGATGGATAAGAATTTACTCTCGGATGAGAAAGATGACTTTTTTTTTTTTTTGCAAAAATCCTTTTTATTTATTCCACAGACTATTACCTAGATAAAACATTATCAAAGGCCACTATCATTATGGTCTACTTGCTGGGCTACATCTGCCTCACTCAGGAAACACCAGGAGCACTTTGAGGCCATTCTTCACGAGAGGCAGGTGCAGAATGGATGCCATTTTAGACTTCAGAGATAAACCCACTTTTCCATGGAGAAGCCAGATCCTTATCAGAGGCAGCAGCAGGAAGTCCTTCAGAAAGAAAGGCGCTCCTGCCTAAATTAGAATCTATCCACCCATTTAAAGACATTTCTCTAAGGATAAAATCTTTGAAAGTGATGTCAAAGGAAATGGGAGCCTGCCTGCCGTCCGTCCGTCCGCTGCTTTCAGGAGTGATTATGAGAACACGCTGCTGCCCTGCAGGACGTCAGCATCTTTTCTTTAGGGTCTTGCATTCACAAAGCACATTCTGTGGTCGAAGCGAGTCCATGATATGTATGACTTAATCTTCACAGGTGTTAACACTTGCAAATGCAGTGAACTCATCAGATTAGCATGATCAAGGACAGCACCAAGAGAGAAATGTCCTTCAGAGGATTTAATTTAAAAAATGTGAAACCCTGCACAGGCAGGACAAAACAGATTCTGCTAGGGAGAATTCATCTAAAATTAATTCTACTTTTTTGCAAATGAACATTTACTTTGGAAGGCACATGGAAAGTAATATTTAATATGGGTTTTTTTCTAAAATGCTGATTGAAAGATCTCTTTGGGTAGATCCCAAAGTTCATCTTTGCAGTTCCTCAAAAAGCTTATTGAAAAAAACAAACAAACAAGGTTTCCAGAGTCAGACTAGCTGTCAGTGTACACGTTAGCATTTTAAAGGTTTGGGGATACGTCCTGAAGAAATAAAAATCTTGTTGAAGTTGGCATTTTCTAACTTATTCTAACAGCAGAGCTCAGTTTATCTCTGTTCATATAAGCAAGTGACTCAGAGCCTAAATTCACTGATAGGTACCAAACACTTGGTGTCAGAGTTCTTGATTATTTAAAATTAGGCTCCACCTAATTTGTGGAATGAAAGTTAATAACCAAGAAAGAAGCATTATGTTATCTGTGATTTTTTTCTATATAAACATATTTACAAAATACAATTTCACCTCCTGAAGTTCCTGTTATTTCTAAGAGTTGTGATTCCTTTGTGTGCCCAGCATTGCAACACTAACTTTAGGCACTAATTCAGGTTAACATTCCAGGAAAGTGCACAGGCTTCCAACACTGTGCCTTATTCCTTTACAGACAACAAATATCCGAGAAAATTGAGTGGAGGTGACATTGAGTGGAGCCATATTTAACAATTCCCCAGAATACATTTCTTCTGTTCTGGAAACGGGGTCAGCAGAGGTCAGGTTATGTCCTCACCAATTTTGAGTGGTGCATCTGGGGCTGGAGTTGCATAGAGGAGATTCTCCGGCTTGAGATCACGATGGACAATCCCATTTTCATGGAGGTACTAATAGGGAATATAATGAAGTAACATTCATATAATTATATTTATGGTTCCAACATTTTTATTTACTATTTTCAGAACTTTAATAATCTTTACTAAATTATGTGATTCAACAACACACACATATAATTTCAAAATAAACACCATAAAGAAAAACTATACATCGTTCTAGAAGAGCTTGTATATAGTGACCTAAAAGTGAAATGCAATTTAAATAATATAGAACCAAATAAGTAAATACATACAGAAATAAATAAAATAGGACCAAAAGCCAGGAATAAAATATTTACCCCTCAGAGAATATTAGTTGTAGTTCTCTTTATGCATATCAGCTTAAATTTGGTTAATTATTATTATAATAAAGTCAAGGTGCTGTGTCTTGAAATTTGGTTTATTATCTAGAAAGCATAATTGTATGTGTCATCTTATAAATTCAGAACCAGGGCAAAGACTTCAAATTATCGTTTGAACAGACATTTAGATGTAAGTAATTATTATAGAGAACACATGCAATCCAGGACCCTGTGCAGGTCTCTCTCCTCACTGCCTCAGGTGTCCGCCCCCGCCCCACTCCCATCCCTACTACTGCTCTTGCCTTCAGCAGGCCACATGGCCAGCTCCTCTCCAGACCATGCTCCACACTGTCACAGGGTCATATGAGGAAGGGAGGGGGAAAGAGGAAAGGAGAGGGAGAGAAACATCAATAATGAGAGAGAATCATTGACTGGCTGCCTCCTGCATGTCCCCCACTGGGGATCAAGCCCACAACCCGGGCATGTGCCCTTGGCCGGAATCGAACTCGAAACCCTTCAGTCCACAGGCCAACGCTCTATCCACTGAGCCAAACTGGTTAGGGCCCACAGGGTCATTTTTGTAAAGTGCAGATCTAGTCAGGTCACTCCCTGCTTTTGCTTGCTTTTGGGGTTGAGTGGCCGCAGCAATGCAGCCTTTGCTTTTGTATCTCCAGCAGGGGTCGAAAACTCTCCAGGGGCATGCAGGCATGTAAAAGAATGAAGGGAGTTGGAAGCATGTGAAATAAGAGGGAGACACTGGGAAGTCCTAGGGTCTGCAGCTGTCCCTGGAGGGAGTATGACTCTGAGGAGGCCAAGGTGACTCAGGGTCAGCAAGATGCTG